ACTCGGTTATGCTTTTTTGACGGCTGGTGTTTATGTTGTCGTGATACACCGTGATGTACGGCTCCATAGCCTGCACCAGCCGGGTATGGAAGACTTCATAGCGGTCATCGTCATTGTCGCGGGAAAGGAAGGACTTAATTTTCTCTGCACACTCCATGGCACCCTTGATATCACTATGAGTTAAACTGTGTTCTTCGGAGAATGACGCACCTTCTTCCTCCTCTTCACTGACGTGATCTTCTTCCAACATCTCGTCGGCAGTCACTTCAGGATCTCTGATCACCTCCAGGATGTCGTCGTTGGTGGTCTCGGAGAAGCCTGGAACTGTAACAGTCTGCACAACTTCTCTGGCAAGGTCCACTGCTACTGCAACAGTCTGAACCTCACCAGTCACAGATTGACTCCTCCTCTCACCTGGTATTCCATGCAACACATGTCTCCATGCATGACGAATTGTAGCAATAGACAGCTGATCCCATGACTCCACCAAGAAGTCCACAGCTTTCTTGATGTTAAATACTCTCCAGAATTGTTTGAACAGTATTTTTTGCTGTTCCAACTGTTGATCCTCATCTTCTTCGCTCTTGCTATCGGTGGTGGTGTCACTCAGGTTACGCAACTCTTCCCTGGTGTTGGTGTAGTCATTCAGGAGCTGGAATTTTTTTGTTGAGAATGCAGCTTTTACATTACAGATTAACTCTTGGTCCATGGGCTGTAATATAGACGTAGTGTTGGGAGGAAGGAAGACCACTTTTACGTTGGGGTGACGATCTAACAGTAGGGGCGAGTGTCCTGGTGCGTTGTCCAGCAGCAACAAAATCTTGAATGGCACATTCTGTCGCTCACAGAATTTCTTTACATCGGGAACAAAGCAGTCATCAAACCAGGAGAGGGACAGTGTAGAGAACATCCACGCCTTACGTGCGGTCAGCCAGTGGACATTTAGCTTGGTCATGTCCATGGTTTTGCAGGCGTGCGGCTTGCGTGCTGTGTGGATCACCGATAACTTGAGCTTACAGGTACCGGAGGCATTGGTGGTAAACAGGACGGTGATGCGTTCCTTCTGCATCTTCCGGCCCCGAATCTTCCTGGCATTCTTTACAACGAAGGACTTGGAAGGTAGCTTTTTCCAGAAAAGACCAGATTCTTCCATGTTAAACACCTGGTCGTCACTGTACTGTCCTTCCTCCATAATCTCACGTAAAAACGGAGGAAATTCCCTAGCCGCAGCACGGTCAGCACTCGCTTCTTCACCACCAATGTTTATATTAGTGATCTTGTTCCGGATCTTAAACCTCTGTAACCACCCAGAGGAAGCATTAAAGGGTTTGGGCTCTGTAATTCCCATCTTTCGTGCCACTGCCATGTACAGTTCACGTGCGTAGTCCTTAACAGAGCGCGTGTCGACCGCCATGTTCCGTCGCGCCTGACGCACCAAGTACCTCACAAGTAATTTTTCTGTCTTGAGAAGCACCTGGTTGTGAAAATACTTGATCATAGAAGCACCTGTAGACTTTGTGATCTTCATGTGCTCCTTTATCTTGACTGCATCCTTCTTTATTGTTCGAATCGTAGATTCATTCACACCATGCTGGCGCGCCAAATCAACCTGCCTTGTTCCTTTCTCCAACTCTTGGATGATGGTATACTTCACCTCGTAGCTTAAGGAACGTCGTGTCTTCTTTGGCTTAGTGCCGCTGGGTCCAGGTAAGGAAAGGTTTCTCTCTGGGGGTGGTGGTCCGGCGGAAGCCATTTTAGAGAACAATGGATGCACGTTTACACGGTCTGGCGTGGAGGGATGAAACTGGCGCGGCTAGGTCAAGGATCATCTTTCCTCCCTCCCTCCCTCCTCCGGGTGGACACGTCATAATACTTTAAGCCAATTACAGCTAGCAGCAGAGGGGGGTAGGGATGCATGGCCAATCACAGGTCTGATACGTCATATGACGTCAGTGATAACGCAACAAAGACACACACTGCGCAACCTTACCGCGCCGCTTGCCCAAGCGGAGGGAGGAGGAGGGAGAGGCAGGCAGGCAGGCGGGCGGGTGGCGGGTGGGGCGAATCTAAAAATAGCGTCGCGCCGGACACTCTCCGCGTAATGGGGTTCACGTACCGCGTAATGTGAGCACGTTAGGTTCTGGCAAGGCACCGCGTAAACGTGGAAACGCGGAATGTGGGACCGCGTAAAGTGATGGTTAACTGTATACAAATTAAAAGGAAAACACAGTATAAGACTGAAAGGTTCCCCCCCCCCACCACCACCAAGTTTACTGCACCTTGTAATAGTGGGATCACCTGATGAATCTCCACCCTAGTTTATTTCACCTAAAGATTAACCACCCAAATGCTAACCTAACCTAACCTCATCCCCACAAATAGCATTAAGGTGGTTAATCTTTAGGTGTAATAAGTTGGGGTGGAGATTCTTCATGGGATCTGAGCAAACCAATACCAGTACTGTACTGTGCGGTGTCCCAGTAACTAATGGAAGTTTTTTCTGTTTCTCAAAGATTATTCCATATATTTATTAGTTCCTTTAATGTTAATTTCTATTACTCAAGCTTCTGTACCTTGAGAGATGCCTGTACAGTATTTCACTAACTCACTTTTTATTGTGACACAGGAAGGCGAGGTCAGGGAAGTAGACTGAGTGGACCGACCAACAAAGATGCATTAGAGAAACTGTCAAAAGTTCACCCACTTCCTTCACTCATCCTGCAGTGGCCCAAGATAAACTCATCTCTTATCAAGGTAAAACATACAACATGCCACGTCCAGTATGTTCACTTGTGTGTTGTTACATGTTTTCCAGAAGGTTGGTTCATGCAATACCTCTTCTTTAACATTTATTAGACATCTCTACTTTCTCCTCCATATTTACACCTATCTTACACACACACACCTCATCTGTACACTTCCCTTCATTAGATATTACCCTTTAAAAACATAATAACAACTGAACACTCCAGGACACTTACTTTCCTATATGATTGCGGAGCCTTGGTGGGTGGAGAGAGGCACTGCACTTTGGCTAGTCTGACATGATTAACATTAAGGTAGTAACATGTACAGTACTGTACTGTATTACACTAAACTTAAATTGACTGTACTGTACTGTACTATACTGTACTGTACTGTACTGTACTGTACTGTACTGTACTGTACTGTACTGTACTGTACTGTACTGTACTGTATAATCACTACAATCAGTGCTAGATGGAGGGCTGTATTAAGACATGCTGAAGCCCTAAGCTATGTCACGATTTAGAGGCTCCATACCATAAAAATTAAAGTATATAATACAGTAACCCCTCGTTTAACGAACACCTCGGTTAACGTAATTTCGATTAACGAACTGCCTTCCATAAGGATCTTCAATTTGGTTAACGAAAAAAAATTCGGTTAACGAAGTTCTTACGAACCGACTTCAACATGTTTTCGCTTGCACTGACCGGGCAACCAGCTTTAGTATCAGTCCGCCAATACATTAATCGGTTCTCGGGCTTAAATTCCTTACTATTTTAGTAAATATCAAGAAGTTTATACTATTCAATAATTTTAAAAGTTTAATATTCAATTTTTTAGTCATTTTAACAATTATTGAACATAATTGAAGGTAAAGTGACTAGTTTAATGCGCAGCATCCAGCCTCTTAACACAGCAAACAGGAGTTAGTCTCTCTCTGTTTTCACTGGAGGTAACATCTTGCTTGAGACTCTCTTCAACATTAATGCTTTTTTTCTGTGTTTCCAAGCAAATTATTGGTCATTTTGAAATATATTTTACATATTGACAATATATAATGTAGTGCAGTGTTGATTTAAAGAAAATAATCTTGAATTACACCAAGAGAGCTAAAATTTTATGGGTGAAATGGCGCCATGGGGTGACTTCTTCCACCCCAATGCCTTCTCTTCTTCCTTCTCCTCCACCCCCATTCTAAATCCCATCATCATCATCCAGGAGCCTTCTACATACACACCTCAAAGTAAGTGAACTTTTCTACCATTTCTGTTGAATTTAGGAAATTTTCGGTGAGCTGGAACCAATTACCCAAAAACCCATTGAAACAATGGTTTCGGTTAACGAACTTTTCGGTTAACGAACGACCTTCTGGAACGGTTTGAGTTCGTTAACGGAGGGGTCACTGTAGTGACAAAGGGTGTATTACATTCTAACATAAAGGTCAATAATTATTTTTAAAACTATATATTTACATATACTGTACAGTGTACATAGGCAAAGATGCAATCAACAGCTTATAATCTAAATAGCATACTGTATACATATTAGAAAAAGCCTTATTTGCATTATAAAATACTTTATGATTTCCTAACTAGCAAATATGAAATTGAAGACTTTTAACATAAAACATTGCACAGATCAACCCTTGTATTAGCCCCTGTCTTATAGGCAGAAGTATTTATATAAATGTGGGTTAATTACATTAGACTTGTATAACTATCACCCCCTGTAACTCTCCACTAGTTGTGAGGTTCATGTTCAGAGCACGTGATAAGGTGTGTCCACGGGAAGTCACGTCACTTAGTGCTGAGCTAAGGGACAAGTATCTGGCTCCCTGGCCACCTATTGCGGGCAGTAGTTTGATAACCCTGACGAGAGGAAGACATTATTTAGAGCCATCGTTGATGTGCTTCCGTCTTTCCTCGAGGGAGGACGTCGGATATATTTCCGTTCTCCCTCGAGGGTCCCTACTCAAGATCACTCCCACTCTCACATCAATCGGACGTATTTCAGAAGAGCTGCTTTAAGATAGCCTCCGTCCTCATTTAACACTCATAGCTACAGTGATTCAGTTACGGTGATAATCCTTTTTGAAAGTGTACATAGAAACCTTTTATAATAAATACACAAAAGGAACCGATTGGATTAAGTTACTGAAGACCCAATAAACTTTGATCTATATTTTACTACGTCTAGAATATAAGGTAACGTGTTTCACAAGTGATTGTTACAAGTGGTGACAACCCAGGAAGGTTGTTACATATATGACAGCTTCACAAGTAGTTGTTATACAACAAGTAACAGATACACAGTTGGTAAAGGTAGAGATATTATGTTCTCCCCATTACTGTGTTATACTGTTACAAAGAAGATATTGTTACATAGTTGGCAAAGCGTAGATTAAGAGGACCCAGTCTCGGCCCAGTCTAAGGTGACCATTCTACAGTGTACAGTTTACAGTTAGTCAAGTGTACTCCAAGTATACGTGACAATATTGGTAACAGAAGTTATTCGTCACATTGGAGTTGAGTAACAGTTGATATAATCTGTTCTCTGGTTACTCATACTATTATATAAAGAAATTAAACAGATTCACCCTTAGTAAATGGAGGCAGTAATGCAACTGGCACTGTCTCTTCTGGTTGAACATCACATGAAATTTAAAACATTTTCTTTCGTAGATTCCCAAGAGCAAGGTCATGGATGAAGTCGTCCAATGATAAGCTACAAATTTTTCACTTTCTATTCACATAATTCTTAATGCAGAGAACTTTTCTCACAGCATTGATGTCCATAGTTCATTCTTAATCCTTTTCAGCTACAGAATTTACCTTTCTCCTGAGCAGTTTGTGACTATTAGACTGAAAAGTAGCCACAATATTGCTTCTACAATAGGGAAAGCCAAATGAATCTTATCTTGGAAGATGACTTGATAGAGGTCCTAGTGGCATAAATATCCTTTATTAGAATAATTTTTCTTGGTATAAACATTAAAAAGCTTTACTTCCCCAACAAGGTTAACATCAATATCATCAGGATAGTCTTTCACCAGAGACTTTACACTGTCACACAACTGTTCCTCTTCTAAATCAACAAAAAAATTATATATATTTGCAACATTATTGTACTGTATATGGCTGTCTTTTTTCACACCGATTTCAAGGGCATCCATCATGGGAATAAAGGATTTTACTCAAAATTTGTCTCTTGGAGAAATCCTGTCATCATCATTTGCTGCATCACCATCACTGACTTGTTTTTTCTCACTCTCTTTTATTCACACACCTGTACTCTACATCAGGAAGGTCTCCTTTTGCTTTGAGTTCAATTTCATCAAAACAGTCTAGGATTTATTTCAAGAAGTTAGTGAGCAATGTGTAAAGCTTTGTACATGTGCTAAGGCCAATGTGTGGGTCCTGTAGGGTCTTGGTGGTTTGTGGAATTGATCTAACTAATGAACATGAAGACACATTCCAGTTCCTCAGTTTTCTCAGGAAGAATATCAGCTTTCTTCTTGTTTCACCTTCTTCACTGTCATTAATACATTAGTAAGGACGTGAGTAAAAGTATCATTACAGTACATAATTGAATTACTGTATAACTCACCTATGGGCCTATGGCTGCAGTAGCCTTTGCTTCCCACCTAGTTTAATGTCAGCAGATGTTTTGGTACTGTAGAGTCAGGATTCAAGAATAATTTGAGTGCTGCCCAGGGTTTTGTAGAGGCTGAGAAGAAAGTATATATTTGTTACACAACAACAACCAAATTTACTGCATCTAGGCAGCAATCAACTGCCACACAGCTAACATGAGTCAGTGAATGGGTGAATTGAAAAATTAATTTATATGGTTTCCAAATGATACTTTAAAATTATTAACATTATTAGACTGAATTTTCTGACCTACAAATGAAATAAGCAGGGCAGTTTGGTTCATAACAAATATTTTTACTTACTGTATCTCAAACATATTTAGAGGGCCCTCATAATGTGAGGCCCTAAGCTGTAGCTTACTTACCTTGTGCCTAAATCCAGCACTGGCTGGATGCCATCACATTATCTGGCAGTTGGTGAGAAACTGGTGTTGTGCCAGGCGGCCAATTACAACTCGGCATGCGCACCGGTAATTCAGACCGATTCCGACTTTGGGGAGTTTTAGTACAATGTGAGACTGAACCTATCTTAACTGTAAACTGAGTGAAATACCTTGGACTAAGTCTTGACTTTCTTCATCTGGAGAATAAATTGTAGATAATATAATAAGTAAAACTAATGTTAGGATAAACAATTTGTTTATATAAATGTCATATGTCTCAGCTGATGCCCCTAGCAACCTTTGCTTGGCACTCATACAAAGTCACTTAGACTATTCCTGATCATCAATACACTCTGCCTTAACACAGAAGCTGATGGCTTTGCCAATTAGTAAGTCTGTGAATCTATCTATTTATTATTAAATCTATATAACTATTTATATCATCTAACCTAACAGAAGTGAAGAACAAGGGACAGACAGATGACAGAGGCTACACCACCACCACCACCAGATGACAGGAGGCACCACCACCATCAGATGACAGGAGGCACCACCACCACCAGATGACTGAGGCAACACCACCACCAGATGACTGAGGCAACACCACCACCACCAGATGACTGAGGCACCACCACCACCAGATGACTGAAGCACCACCACCACCAGATTACTGAGGCATCACCACCACCAGAAGGCAGGAGGCTACATTACCACCACCAACACCAGATGACTGAGGAGGCACCACCACCACCAGATGACAGGAGGCACCACCACCACCAGATGACTGAGGCAACACCACCACTACCACCACACCGGACCTCCTCCTCCTACACCCCCTCTCTCCTACACCCCCTCCCTCACACCCCCCGGACCTTCCTACACCCTCCCTCACCTCGGACCTCTCCTACACCCCCCTCCTCACCTCGAACCCCTCCTACACCTCCCTCACCTCACCTCCTACACCCCCCCCCTCCTCACCTGACCCTCTCCTCACCCTCCCCCCTCACCCCGGACCCTCTCCTTCACCCCCTCACCTCGGACCTCTCCTACACCCTCCATCACCTCGACCTCTCCACACCCCCCCCCTCCCCCACTGGATCCTCCACACCTCCTCCTCACCTCCGACCTCTCCTACACCCCCCTCCCTCACCCTGACCTCTCCTACACCCCCCTCCCCACCCCGGACCCTCTCCCCACACCCTCCCCCACCGGACCCTCTCCCTCACCCCCTCCTCACCTCGACCCTCTCCCCTACATCCCCTGCCCCACCTCGACCTCCTCCCCACACCCCTTCCCTCACCCTCGGACCCTCCTCCTCACCCCTTCCTCACCCTCGACCCCTCTCCTACACCCCCTTCCTCACCTCGACCTCCCACACCCCCGTCCTCACCTCGGACCCTTCCTCCTACACCCTGTCCTCACTCCTGACCCTCCTCCTACACCCCCTGTCCCTCACCCTGGACCCTCCGACCTCCTCCCTCACCTCGACCTCTCTACACCCCTGTCCCTCACCTCCTGACCTCCCTCCTACACCCCTCCCCACTCGGACCCTTCCACACTCTCCATCACTCCTGGACCCCTCCTTACACCTCCCTCACCTCGGACCTCTCTCCTCCACCCCTCCCTCACCTCGGACCTCCTACACCTCTTCCCTCACCTCCGACCTCCTCCTACACCTCCTACCTGGACCCCTCTCCCACACCCCCCACCCTCACTGGACCCCTCTCCCACACCTCCTCCCCACTCCCACCCTCTCCCTACACCCCCTCCATCACCTGGACCCTGTCCCCACACCCCCTCCAGACCACTCCGGACCCTCTCCCACACCTCCTCCCTCCTCACCTCCTGACCCCTCCTACACCCTCCCCCCACCTCGACCTCCTCACCCTCCCTCACCTCGGACCCTCTCCAGACCTCCTCCTCACCTTGGACTCCTCTCCCACACCCCTCCTCACCTCGGACTCTCCTTACACCCTCCCTGCCTCCTCGGACCTCCCACCTCCTCCCTCACTCCAAGACCTCCTCCTACACCCCTCCCTCACCTGACCCTCTCCTACACCCTCCTCACCTCCGGACCCCTGTCCCACACCCCTCCCCACCTCGACCTCCCCACACCTCCCTCACCCCGACCCTCTCCCCACACCTCCTCCCCACCCTCGCACCCCCACACCCTCCCCCACCTGCACCCTCTCCCACACCCCCTCCTCACCTCCGACCTCTCCTCGCACACCTCTCCTCACCTCCGACCCCTCCCACATGCCCTCACCTCGGACTCCTCCTCCTACACTCCTCCTCACTCCTGACCCTCTCCTACACCCCTCCTCACCCCGACATTTATACTCTCCTCACCTGGACCTTCCCACCCCCTCCCCTCACCTTGACCTCTCCCACCCTCCTCACCTGGGACCTCCTTGCTAATTCTCCTCACCTGGACCCTCCTCCCTACACCTCCCTCCCCACCCTTTGGACCCTCTCTGTACACCCTCCCCCACCTTGACCTCTGCCACCCCTCCTCACCTCGGACCTCTCCTACACCCTCCCCCACTCCCTGACCCTCTCACACCTCCTCCTCACTGGACCCTCTCCCCACCTCCTCCTCACCTGACCTCTTCCACACCCCTCCCTCACCTTGGGACCCTCCATGACCCCCTCCTCACCTCGACCTCTCCCACCCCCCTCCCTTTACCTCCAACCTCTCCTGCACCCCTCCTCGCCTCTGACCCTCCCCTACACCTCCTCCTCCTCACCTGTCGAATCTCCACGTCCCCTCACCTGACCTCTCCTATACCCTCCCCACCTCCGACCCTCTCCTACACCTCTCCTCACCTCTGACCCTCTCCCACACATGCTTCCCACTGACCTCTCCTACACTTCCTCCCCACCGACCTTCCTACACCCCTCCTCACCCCCGACACTTTATAATTTCCCCACTGGACCTTTCCTTGCTAATTCCCTCCCTCACCTCGACCTTCCTATACCCTCTCACTCGGACCTTTCCTACACCCTCCCTACCTGACCTTTCTCCTACACCTCCCTCCCTCACTTCGGACCTTCCTACACCCTCCCTCACCCTGGACCTCTACACTCCTCCCCACCTCGGACCTCTCCTACACCCCTCCTCCCTCACCTCGACCTTCCTCCTGACACCCCCCTCCTCACCTGGACCTCTCCCACACCCCCTCACCTTGACCTTCCCCATACCCCCTCACTTTCGGACCCTCTCCTACACCCCCTCCTCACTCGGACCTCCTCCCCACACCCCTGTCCTAATCCTAGATCTCCCACACCACCTGCTGGGCTCATTTGCCAGATGACTGAGGCACCAGCCACCACCACCACCAGATGACTGAGGTACCAGCCACCACCACCACCAGATGGATTGAGGCACCTGCCACCACCCCACCAGATGACTTATGCACCAAAATACCACTCACCACCTGATGACTATAAACTGAATAAAATTTCACCACACCACCAGATGACTTGAGGTGTTCAGCCACCACCACCACCAGATGATTGAGGCACCACCATCACCACCAGACAGATCAGCTAACTAACCACTACCACCAGATGACTGTGCCACCAATTTTTACCAGATGACTGAGGCAATTCAGCCACCACCAAATTACCTTTCCAGGATGACTGAAAGCAACCAGCTGTACTCTACCACCACTAGATGAGATCTGAGGCACCCGCCACCACCACCACCAGATGGACTGGAGGCACCAGCCACCACCATCAGGATGACTGAGGCACCAGCCACCACCACCACCAGATGACTGGAGGCACCACCACCACCTCAGCCTGCATGGACTGAGGCAAACCACCACCTCACCAGATGACTGGAGGCACTACCACCACCACACCACCACCAATAATCTCAGCACTGAGGCAACACCACCACCCTAATGACTGAGGCACCACCCACCACCACCAGATGACTGAGGCACACCACCACCACCAATCTCTCAACACTGAGCAGGCACTACCACCACCCCACGACTGAAGCACACCAGCCACCGTACTCACCAGATGACTGAGGCACCACACCCACACCAGCTGGGACCCTCACCGCCACCACCACCCCATGCACTGAGGCACCACCACCACACCCCACGCGGACTGAGGCACCACACCACCACCACCAGATGACAGAGGTCAAGCACCACCAACACCACCACGTGACAGGAGGCCACAGTGAAAATTAGCCTCCAGCTCTGTATCATCAGAAGCCACAGCCCATAGGACCACATACCAGCACAGCCTGTAGACTCACAGCTCTGTAGACACATACTACAGCAGCTCCAGCCCAGGCCCAGCCTGTAGACCACATGCCACAGTAGCACCAGCTCTGTATACCACAGTTGCATAGCCTGTAGACCACAGTAGCTCCAGCCCCTCTGTAGACTAGCATACTAGCTCAGCAGCTCCAGCTCTGTAGACCACATGCAGTAGCTCCAGCTCTGTACAGCTCATACTACAGTAGCTCCAGCTCTGTAGACCACATACTCAGTAGCTCTGTTGTTAAAAAATAAGTTTTTCTATATATTAAAATTTCAGTATAAACTTTTAGATTAATCACTCCTACAACCTGACCCCAGACATCTTTGTGTTACCCTCTAGTATTATATTATGTACTATATAATAATGTATCTGTAGTTCATACCCTAATGTGTACTTTATTGTATTACAAATATTGTTTCTCTTGTTTTGTGATGTAATGTATTAATAAAGCCTCCAAGTGCTCAATGGTATCCATAATGTATTTTACTGAACATGCAATAAATTCCCAATAAAGATCAATAAAACGAAATTGTCCTGTCCTATTGAGTATGTAAATTAATGACGACAGCATAAAATAATGACATTTAATAATAATAAAAATACGATCGTTTTCAATATTCCTAAAAATCTGTTAATAAATAAAGCACATTATATACACAATAAAACTCTTGTTAAAGATTCAAGACAATATATGGGCTATAATACAATACATAACCAGAAATAATACCTAATTAGGAGACATGACCACCATCAGTAAGCAGCACTTGAACCTCTGAGCTAATGGTTCATCTCTAATATCGTACCAACCAACCCAACTACTTACTACTGTTATAAAGCAGTGAAGGAGGACTGAGACTCTCAACATATAAACAAGTTGAATAGAAAATTATCTATGAGGTCAATATTTATTATATTGGCTGCACTGAACACTGATTAAATATAATAGTTACTCCTGCTCCGTCTTGTGTGATTAAATATAATAGTTAATTCTCCGTTTTGTGATTAAATATAATGCTACCCATTTTATGATTAAATATTATTACCCCTCCAATTTGTGATTAAATATAATAGTTACCCTCCATTTTGTGATTAAATATAATAGTTACCCTGCCCGTTTTCTATGTTTTCGTATCTGCTCTGTTTTCTGTGATTAAATAATAGTTACTCCAAAACTGCACAGACGTTTTTTGTTTTTTTTTCTTTTTTCTGGACACTGTTTTCGTTGTATTATTCCCTAAAGTTAATGAAAAGTGAAATCGGGGCCATAATTTGACGTTTTATTTTAACGTATATACAAGTTCGAAGCTTCAAATGTTCTTCATCGAAGCAAAAATATGCTTCAATGAAGCAAAAAAATGATCAGTGAAGCTTTTGTGACGTCACTGTGAACCTTGACATATAAGGCCTGACTAACTGGCCTTCGTCCTTTCTCACCGACCACTCGCCACTCACTGACTGCAGCACAGAAGTCCACTGGTTCTTTATATTGTAACATTTTTTGCCCGACTGCCTTGGGAGAAATAGGGTAGTGTTTAATATACTATGCAATAAATGTGATTTAAGTCCAAACTGTCATTTATTGTTACAGTTCATAGGGTCGGTCCTCAAGTTTCACTGGGCTCTAAGGCCCATGGTACCTACTGTGCAGAAGCGCTCAAACAAATACATTAGTATTATATTAAGTATTCTCTAACGTCTAACCAGTAATTTCTTAATGTTTTGTCAAATATACCGCCAAATGAGTCATGACAAACGAGCCTAAACTATGAGCTGGTAGTGAGTAACGAGCGTAAACCTGTTCATCAGTATTTAGGTAATAATTAACCAGTAAGTGAGTACAATGACCAGATTGGGTTAGATTACCGTTTTATTTATTTTTTATTTCCCTTGCTTCAGCCCAACACACTTATGGTAGAGCCGGGTGGTCATAACTCAACAACTGCGCAGTTCATCACCACCACTGTATTCACTATTGACAACTGCGCTGCATTCACTAGATTTAACACAAATAGTAGTATTTTTTAAGGAATTAAGATGTATTTTTACTGGCTAGTTCTTTGCTTACTCTTTTAGTTACGATTTCTGGGAGTTGAAAAACACCGACATGGCTCTAGTCAAGTGGGATAAGGAGGAGGAGCCGGGCGGCCATTCCCATTCCCTGATCTTTTTTCATTCATATTTATATATTTGATGATGGCCCATGCTGCCAAACGATGCTATGGTGAGCCCGGGCTGGGCTGGGCTGGGCTAGGCTAGGCTAGGCTAGGCTAGGCTAGAGGGCGAGACGTTTCAGAATACAGTATATATTAAATCCCGTAACATTAAGGTTCCTGGTAATTTTTTAAAAGTGGACAACCATGGATTTTACAATCGGAAAAACCCATTGGTCAACAACCAAAAAGCACCATAACTAACCTAACAACGTAACGTAACGTAACCTGGAGGTTCCTTGGTTGTCTCCTGGTGACAAAAGGTCCATTTGTATGTGCACACAACAATTAGAAAGTAAAACAAAATAATATTAGCGTATTTGTTTAGATCGGTTATGACCTCCATTTCCGTCGGAAATTGGTCGTTTTTTATAGGTTTTTTTGTGAGGCGTTTTCCGAAAAAAATATTGGCTCAGCGAATGAAAAATGCAAAAAAAAAACCCTATAAAAACATAAACCGGACCTAATCTAACCGACTCTCGCCATATGTTGGAATCCCTTATTTCTTACCTTATTGGCCTGGTTCTCGTTGGAGTTACCACATGTGTTGGTCTTGGCGACACTTACATTCGTTCTTGCATTAATGACACTTTACGGAGGTCGGGACAACAACATGAGATCTAAAAATGCTATAGTTTTAGTGTGGAGGTAATGGTTTATGTAAACAGTTGGGGACAGTGAGTACACGTGGTGTAGTGGTAGATGGAAGTTGCAAGTTTAATTTTCATTCTACGTAAATTACAACTTTAAACATGTTGCAGGTGACAGCTGGTGTACTTGAAGGCCAATGGGGAAGTGACAGAACCTTGAGCAAGACTTAACACCCAGCATGTTACTTCAGCCTCATCAGTTAAGTTACTTATATATTATCTTAGCTATTATGGTCAGCCCATAAACCACTCAACACTGTGCTCCTACACTGGGCAGTGGAGGGTGTGTGTGTGGGACCTGGCTGACTGTGCATGTTGGAGGACTGTGTGTGCGCGTTGGAGGACTGTGTGTGTGTGTTGGAGGGCTGTGTGTGTGTGTGTTGGAGGACTGTGGGTGTGTTGGACGGCTCTGGAAAACTGTGTGTGGGTGTGTTGGAGGACTGTGGGTGTGTTGGAGGACTGTGGGGTTATGTGTGTGTGTGTGTGTTATGGGGCTGTGTGTAGCCATGTGTGTGCGTGCGTGCGTGTGTGCGTTGGAGGACTGTGTGTGTGTGTGTTCGCTGTTTGTCTGTGTGTGTTGGAGGGACTGTGTGTGTGTTGGGGGCTCTGGAAAACTGTGTGTGTGTGTTGGTGAGGCCTGTGTGTGTGTTGGGGCTCTGGGAGAAACTTCTGTGTGTGTGTGTGTGTGTGTGTGTGTGTGTGTGTGTTGGAGGACTGTGGGTGTGTGTGTGTTGGAGGACTGTGGGTGTGTTGTGAGACTGTGGGTGTGTGTGTGTGTTGGAGGACTGTGTGTCTGTGTGTGCGTGCGTGTGTGCGTGTGCGCGTGGAGGAACTGTGTGTGTGTGTGTGTGTGTGTGTGTGTGTGTTGGATGACTTGTGTGTGTGTGTGTTGGGCTCTGACTGTGTGTGTGTGTTGGAGGACTGTGGGTGTGTTGGGGGTTGCATGTGTGTGCTGTGGAGGGGCTGTGTGTGTGTGTGTGTGTGTGTGTGTGTGTTGGGAGGACATGTGTGTGTTGGGACTCTGGGTGTGTGTATGTGTGTGTTTGAGGACTGTGCGCGTGTGTGTGTGTGTGTGTGTGTGTGTGTGGAGGGACTGTGTGTGTGTGTGTGTGTGTGTTTGGAGGGACGTATGTGTGTGTGTGTGTGGGACTGTGTGTGTGTGTGTGTGTGTGTGTGTGTGTTATGGGGACTGTGTGTGTTGCTGGGACTGTGTGTGTGTGTGTGTATGTGTGTTGAAGGGACTGTGTGTGTGTTGGAGGGACTGACCAGCATGTGTGTGTGTGTGTGTGTTGAAGGACTGTGTGTGTGTGTGTGTTGGGACTGTGTGTGTGTGTGTTGGAGGGACTGTGTGTGTGTTGGGGGACTGTGTGTGTGTGTGTGTGTGTTGGAGGGACTGTGTGTGTGTGTGTGTGCTTTGGAGGACTGTGTGTGTGTGTTGGAGGACTGTGTGTGTTGGAGGACTGTGTGTGTTGGAGGACTGTGTGTTGGAGGACTGTGTGTGTGTGTTGGAGGACTGTGTGTGTGTGTGTGTGTTGGAGGGCTCGGTATTATTGCAGTTTCGGCCAGTACACACCTGACTTTTAACCATCCCCAACCTTTAGATCTCCTTATCGGAGTATTTCTTACACCATTTCAACCAGGGAGCAAAGAATGTCAAAAAGGAGTTTTAAAGATTTCCATGCTTTTGGGGGGGGGGGATATAATTCTAAAGAGGTGCTTTCCCCTGGAAATAAAGGTCAAATTCCATTGAATCGACCCAAAATACATAGGATAAACGAATTTCTAAACTACGAGGGCATATTGGACGAAACTGCAATTTTACAACGGGCTCTGGAGAGCTGTATCTAGATAGACT